GGGGGGACAGCCCAATGGCGCCTGGGCTGTCCTGCTGCGGGCGTGCTCCGCGGCTTTGCTCCTGTCCCCCTGGTCTGCTGGGGGGGTGCAGCTAGTGCCCCCCCCAGCAGACCAGGCTTTTCTTGCCTACCCCTGGGGTAGAGCAGCTGGGGTGCTGCTGGGTTGGTCCAGTAGCGCTGAGGAGCTGTGCTACTGGAGCAACCCAGCAGCACCCCAGCTGCTCTGCCCCAGGCGTCCCCAAGTCAGCCGCTGTTGAAACTGATCAGCAGCTGATTCCAGGAAGCCCAGGGCAGAGTTGCTCTGCCTCGGGCTTCCTGGAATCAGACGCTGGTCAGTTTCAGCAGGGGCTGAATGTGGACACCAGTTCCGACTTACATACAGATTCAACTTAAGAACAAACCTACAGTCCCTATCTTGTACATAACCCAGGGATTGCCTGTATTCTCTGTTCTGATCCTTTATTTTTACCAATTCTTATCCCTAATAATAGGAATGTTCATTTCACGTCTGAAATTCTATAAGAAATTTAAATGATTGCTGTCATGCTTTCTTATATTACTTTAATTTCACAATCAGTAAATTATTCACATTCTGTTTGTAAGATTCTTCTTCTTCTTTGCCCTTAGCTCCTATGGGAGCATTGGCCATCAACAATTTCTTTCCAAGCCTCTCTGTCTTGTACCGCCTTTTCTAATTCTCTCCAGCTTTTGTCCATTTTCCTCACATTCACATCCAGGTCTCTTCAACTATTCTTTGGCCTCTTCCCCCTTTTCCCTGTACCCATCTTGTCTCACTAATTCCCATGATGTTTAGTTTGTACTTGTTCATTTCTCTTACTATCTGCTATACGACCCCAAAACAACCCCATCTTGAATTTCTCAAAATAACCCTGAAATGTTCAACCTTCTCCTGGAACATTCAGAAGAGTTGCTCCTTTAAAGAGACACAAGCTCTGTTTATCACTTTAAGTGGTGTTAATAACCACTTCAGTTCAAACAGCACAGCGCTGGTGTAGTTTAAAATAAAACCAGTCTATTAACAAAATGAGAGAGGTTTGAACTGAGTTCAAATACCAGGATAGAGAGGCAAAGTGGTTACAGGCAAACAAAAATAAAATATGCTTTCTAATGGCTAAGACTTAACAAGCTATTGCCTTGATTTAAGCTACATTTCTTATCAATCTTTTTTTTTCCAGCCATGGCTGACTTTCTCTTGTATACACTATCAGGATAAGTCAATGTAAGTTAGCTTAAGTCAACTTACTAAGACTTACTACAGAGACTACACCAAATTGCATTGACAAGACTTCCTTCAACTTACCTTACACCTTTTATTCTGGTGGAGTATTGGAGTTGACCAGAGAGCACTCTGCAGTTGACCTAGCAGTTTATTCACTAGACCAACTAAATGGATCCCTGCTGCAATCATTGCAGCAGCATCGATTCCTGGTAAATGTAGATATGGCCTCAATCAGATTCTTCCACAGAAGTAAAAGAGGCTGGTTTCCCTTGTCTTCCATGCTGAAAGATTTTTGCCTAAGCCAGTTTCTCACCTACCTTCAGTTCCCAGAAATTTCATCTCCTTTGGCTGAGGAAACCATTTTTTTCAGTTTGCAAGAGCTCAAGTCTCTTGTATGTCTCTTCAGTGATGGGTGCCAAGATGGAGTTGTCTTTTTTCTTAACTTTTGAAACTCACTGTTTTGTCCCCAGACTCAGGATGACCCCATGCTGTTCTTCCCTTTCTGGGAAGTTCCCATTTCCCCCTCTGATTCATATGAAATAGGGCTTCTATTGTGTTTGGTCACACCTGGCTTAATTTAATTGGAGACTAGTACATATCTTTTCTTCTAGACAGAAAGAAAGACATATATTTCCCCCTCTCTTTCATCACAAAATTTAAAGCATAATATAAGTGAATATTAATTCCTCATATAGTTTTAGTACACACATTTACAATACTCATTGCCATGCATAATTTGTTTTTAATAAAATTATCTGTAGATAATGTCTTTCATTTTGCTGTGACCTGACTGGTTCGAACTGTTTTTGAGTTGCCATTTTTCTTATCTTTTTTGAGGCACCAATTTTTTTAAACGTACATGTAAATCCACTTTACTCTGCCTATAACAAACCTGGTCTGACAGATAAATACACATTCCTTTGTTTAGGGCACGATGGATTTTATGCTTTGCCTCCCAAACACATTTTAAGAACATATTTCCAGTGGACATCTATAACTCTTTGTACTCAACCTGTACATACATCACACAATGATTTTCAATATGAGCATGTCACCAGTTTACATATGATACCTGACAAGATACCTTTGAGGTACACATCATGACAGCAATATATTGGGCATTGAGTGTGTCAGGCTTGATATGAGAGTGTGAAAGTAAAAATGAAGCCACAAAACCTAAGTTCCAGAACTCTTCAGAGACTGACATTCCCAGACCAGTGGCAATGAAAACCCCCCACATACAAATAAATAATAAAAGAGATCCATATCTTACTAGAAGGTGGGGAGGACCCCAGAGAAAAGGATTCATGATGCTGTCAAGATTAGAAAGGCAAAGGTGCAAAATAAGCTCAAACTAGCTACAGGCATAAAGGGAAACAAGAAGA